AGCAGGAGGCAAACCTCAACTCTCAGAAAGCTCCCCATTCCGCTCCCACGCCCCCATGCCACACACGTCACGTCACGGCGCGACGCACGGCCCGCCCCGTCCCGCCCTACAGTGCGCCCGGCCCCGCGGGGAGTGCGATGGCGCCGGGGCTGCTCTCACACGCACTGGTGAAAGGAGAGGCCGCGCTCCCGGCTCAGCACAGTGTCCCGGGTGCTGCAGCCGACTGCAGAGCAACTTCGGGTCATCTTCTTACGTGGGGCTCCGCCTTCGGGCTTTCCGCGACAGCAGGAATCACGAGCAATTTAGCTCCGCCCGGTGACGCGGCGGCGACGACCTTTATTTGTCAGGTAAGGCGGGCCTTAGCGGCGCGGGACTCCCGCCTTTCCTCTCCGCGGGGGCCGCAGCCAATCACAGGCCACGTCGTGTCACGACAGCCAATCGGAAAGGCCAGGGCAGTAAGATGCACACTTGACCGCTCCTCCCTCTCCACTGGAGGATGGATGGTGGATTTTGCCGCAACCGGCTTTTTCCTTTTGTTTTTTTCCCCCGTTCTGGTTTAATCCGGCGCCATCGTGCTTCTAGTGGGGCCGTGCCTGAGATGCGGAGCAGAGAGGCAGGACCAGAATCGAGACGAAGCCGGGAACACGGCGGTAGGTCTCCGGGTGTGATCTCTGAGAATGACCGGAGGGAGGGATGTGAGACGGGGGTAAACGCGCCGCCCTAGGAATGTGGAGGACAGAGTAGAGCCAGAGAGAAATGATGTGCTGAGATGCGTTTTTATCTTGCAGCTGTCTGCTGCGGAGACGATGCAGGGGCACTTGGCCTGGCTGGCTGGAGGTGTGCGAGTCCAGAGGATGGAGAGAGCGTGATAGGAAACGCCGCCTTTTAATTCAGCGAACCCTTTTCCAAAGCACACTGTGCTACGACGAGGGAATTAAGAAGGAAATCAGGTCAGGTCCTTGGGAAACTTCCGGCCTACCGGGAACTCGTCAAAAGAGCGGTATTCGGTGCCGGAGAGAAGGGGGCATTTTTCATAGCTTTCAGCAGTGAGACGCTCTTGGAACAATGTTTTAGTTAAGCTCTTCGTGTTTAAGGTATGAGATCACAATTTTCTTAGAAGAAAGAAAACGAGCCAACGTAGGGCGTAGTTTTTATTTTATCTTTGAGAAAGAGACCCGTAGCATATGCAGTGTCTTTTTTTCTCTCCTGCGTGACGTTGGCAGTCTTTTATAGAAAACAGCGAGGCGTCCATCTCCAGGCTTAAATTGAAAAAAAAGAAAACAGAAGTGTCTTAAACTTTCATTTCTTTGTTTAGCTCATAGAAATGATTCCAAATTTCTCGGCCTAACCTGTATTGCTTCTCATTTTTCTTTGTGTTTATTTTGTGCAGGTTCCAGTGAAAAAGATTCATATCAAGGTATTACTTACACCTGTTTTCCATCATAGTATGCTTATATTTTATCTGCATGAAATTAACAGCTTTTGTTTATGTTTTCTTAAAAGTCACACAGCATAAGGATTGTCCATGAACTTTGGAAGAATTGGCTGGGGGGTACGGGGGCAAATGCTTGCTTGGCTGTAACCTGTGCAGAGGAGTAGGAACTGGATTTAAATACTGTCAGTTGGTTGAACTGTTAATGCCTTTTCCAAGTACTCAACCAGTTAAGACCTGAATGAGGCTAAATAGAAATAATGCTATTTTCTGTATTATCTTTAAGGAAAAAATTGGTTGCCTTATATTTTTGTAACACTCTTGTTCAGATATTATTATTTTTTTTTTTTTTGAGACAGGGTCTTGCTGTGTTGCCCAGGCTGTAGTGCGGTGGCCTGATCATGGCTCACTGCAACTTCAAACTCTTGGACTCAAGTAGTTCTCCTTTCTCAGCCTCTTGAGTAGCTGGGACTACAGACTTGTGCCACTGTGCCTGGCTAGTTTTTGAACTTTTTTGTAGAAATGGGGTCTTGCCATGTTCCCTGGGCAGGTCTGGAACTCCTGGCCTCAAGTGATCCACCCACCTGAGCCTCTCAAAATGTTGGGATTGTAGGTATGAGCCACCACACCCGGCCTCAGATACAGTTCTTAAATCATACAGCCAAGCAGTGTACAGTTCAGTGATTTTTAGTATATGCAGAGTTGTACAACCATCACCACAATCAATTTTAAAACATTTTTGTCACTCCAGAAAGAAGCCCCATTCTTACTAGCAGCTCCCCACCACCACCACTTGTCTTCCCGAGGAGTCACTAATTTATTTTCTGCGTGGACTTGCCTGTTTTATACACTTCATGTAGGTAGAATCATAAATAAATATGTGGTCTTTGGTGACAGGCTTCTTTCACTTAGAATGTTTTCGGGGTTCATCCATGTTGCGGCACGTATCAGCACTTTATTGCCGAATCATATTCCATTGTATGGATATACCAAATTCGATTTATCTATTCATCGGTTGGTGGACATTTGGATTGTTTCCAGGTTTTTTTTTTTGGCTGCTATGAACATTAGTATTCAAGTTTTTGTGTGGACATTCGTTTTCATTTCTCTTGATAATATACCTGACAGTAGAATTGCTGGATTGTATGATAACTATGTTTAACACATTAACTGATATGTGAGTTGTATTTAACTCAGCTAGTTTTGAGCCCAGGGCCTTGTGAAGTAAAACCCTTCAGTTGGTTTGTGAAAATCTTACTTGTTAATGTTCTTATTGTTACAATTAATATTGACAATTTAATTCCAAAAATGTGGATTGTGTTGCATATAACTCATGCACAGAAAACAATAAAATATAACAAACTAGAAAGGATCGTTTTGTTTGAATAAAACACCATGGCCCCCCCAGGAAAAAATTTTTTTTCTAGTGTGGCAATGTGTTAACTTCTTGAGGAACTAACTGCCAGGCTGTTTTCCAAAGTGGCTGCGCCATTTTACGTTCCCACCAGCAGCGGATGAGGCTTCCAGTGTCTCCACATTTCCGCAGGTGTGAGTGGTGTCTGTTGTGGTGACTGCTGTTTTCTGAAGGACTCAGAGGTCTGCAGGCGCAGGCACTTACTCGCCCTTTTTTTAGGTTAGAGTTGAAAGTAATGCTGTCAGCTCAGCATCTGAAGTGCGGGCTGTTTTCTTTCCTGCTTAATTGATTCCAACTGTTGTGGCTCTCCTAAAGAAGAAACAAAGCGATTCTCCCATTATCCTGACAACATATTCTTCTACTAATGAATTACAAATGAGTTACTGAAAACTGCTTTTATCAGAACAGACATACTTAAATGGTATAGACCAGTTAATTAAATGAAACAACCAGCTTCCTTTACAGAAGGCACACAAAGGGTCATTGCTGTAGATATTCTTAATGTACTTCTGGATGGGGAAATAAGCTATCCTTTATAGATGGAACCTTTTTTTTTTTTAGTTGTATTTGTATGTCTTTACATTTGCTTATAACTTGTATGCTTTTTTGTTGTTGCTTTGTTTACTTTGTTTTACTGGTAATATCGAGGTTCTCAATTTGATCATTTTGTTATGTCTTTGCTTCTTCTAGTAACTTCATATCCAGTGATTAAACATTTTCACTGCTGTTCACATAATGAACCGTTGTGATTATTGAATACTTAATGAGGATATGTAAGCTGAGTGTTATTTGCAAAAGGCATTGACCATCACTAAAAGTAATTTAAAAGAAAGTATCTTTTTTCAGGAATTATACTCTCAGAGATGTTGGGAAAAGATTCACGGATCTTGGAAGATAATTACTCAAAACATGCAGGGAAGATAGTAAGTATATCTTTCTGTTTTAAGTGTATTCCTAGAACTGTAGCAGTGAGTTGGAATCAGAGGATCATCCAATGGATTTATAAAGGCTTTGATGAAATACAATTACCTATTTTATGGTGTATAATCTCATTAGTTGGCCACATGGGAAAGAATAACAGCTAATGATTACTATGGGCCAGGCATTGTACTAAGTTTTTTATATATAGTATATATAGAAAGAGTCAGTTCTTTGTTTTTTTTGGTTTTTTTTTTTTTATTTTTGAGTGTTGGTTTTTTTAAACAATATTTATTTCTCATCATAACCCTATGAAAGCAGATAGAGACTTTTTGCATTCTAGGACTGTTACCTTGCTCGTCGAGCACCTACCCTTTTGTCAGATTCTTTGCTAGTTCTAGAACCTTTCGTTTGTTGTCCTGCAGTAACTGACTGATATTCCTGTTGAGTTTGTCATCCTTTGAGTTCTCTGTCTTTTGCTTTAGAAAGCCTTGGGGTTTTCAAATTATTGGTGACCAAATTTAAAGATAGTCTGAATCTTTTCAATTAATTCATACATTGTACATTTTACTTTTTGGATATGGATTGTGACCCTCTGTATGAGTTGACCTTAGTAGTTCAAAGCAAACACTTATTATCTCACGGTGTTTGTGGGTCAGGAATCTGGAAGTCGGGGTTAGGTGATTGTGGCTCAGGGTGGTCTCGTGAGGTTACAGTTGTCTGAAGACTTGGAGGAGTAGGGCATCAACTTACAAACTGTCACTTGACAACCCTGAGTTCCTTGCTGGCTGTCGTCTGAGATGTTAGTTCTTTGCCATCTGAATCTCTCTGTAGGCTGCCTGAGTCTTCAAAACAGCAACCGGCTTACCCCAGAGTGAATGGTCCAAGACAAAAAGGCCAGCATAGAATCCTGTCTTTTAAAGCTTGATCTGGAAAGGACATATCATCACTTCTGCCCTATTTTATTGTTCACAGAGACTATATAAGGGTGCCAGGATCAGGAGATGGGGGATCATTGCGGACTCCATTTGGAGATTGGCTGCCACACATTAACTAAATACTTTTTTTTTTTCCAAGACAGAGTCTTGGTCTGTTGCCCTGGTTAGAGTGCAGTGGCATTATCATAGCTCACTGCAACCTAAGACTTCTGGGCTCAAGCAATCCTCCTGCCTCAGCCTCCCAAGTAGCTGGGACTGCAAGCACATGCCACAACACCTGGCTAATTTTTCTACTTTAGTAGAGACAGGGTCTCACTCTTGCTCAGGCGGGTCTCAAACTCCTGAGCTCAAGTGATCCTCCTTCCTCGGACTCCCAGAGTGTTAGAATTACAGGCGTGAGCCACTGCGCCTGGCCTCTTAGTGCTACTTCTGATAGTTGGAAACTTCTTGTCTAATAACAAAAGCTTAATAGGTAAAGCAAAGCATAACCAGTTTTGTAATATATTACAGTAAGATACCTTCTGTATCAGCCTTGATGCTGAGAAGGCACCTCCAAATTAGCATGAGAGAATGTTTACAAAGTAGATATAAT